AGTTAGAGGTCAGTTTTCTTGAATAGGTGTATGATAAAGGGCATTGCACTAATCAAAACATATATTTTAAAATTTAAAACTTCTCTTTGAAGCCTTTATGACTTGAGCAATTAAGCATGCAAGGATATCTTAAAACCTGATGCTCTAAAGTCATCTTGGGAGTCATCGGCCTAAAACTCGCTATAGCGATCATATAGAAAGCAATCAAAGATGAAGTTGCCCTTGAAAAAAATAAAATAAAATAACTATTCTCTTTAAAGCCTTTTTGACTCGGGTTATTAAGCCTATAGGGGTGTTTAAAAATTTGGTGCCTGAAAGTCGTCTGACTTGGGAGTCATCGACCTAAAGTCTACTACATGGGTCATCTAGAAATAGGGATGTCAACGAGTCGAGCATAGCCAAGCCCGAGCCTAAAACTTTTGACTCGAGCTCGACTTGTTTAAAATGGTCGAGCTTTTTTACGAGCCCGAGCCGAGCTTTTTTCGGTCAAAAAATTTCAACTCGACTCGAGCTTTTAGCTTGGATTTTTTCGAGTCGAGCTGGGCTGGCTTGATTTTTTCTGGGCTGCCTTGACTTTTTATTTATTTTTTTCTTTCATTTCGTTGCCTTGAAAGATAGCGTTTGCTGCCTTTTCTACCTTTTAAAATGCAGAATTGCTGCCTTTTTAAAGGCAGAATTCTGCCTTTCATTTGCTGCCTCTTTTTTTTTTCCTTAAAGGTTCGCGATCCGACTTGAGCTCGGCCCGAACCTCAGCTCCGTTGCTCCCAGCCCCGAACCGGGCCGCGGGCTGCCCGAGCCATTGAGCCTTTTTAACATTCCTATCTAGAAAACTTAAGAGGGAATGCAAAAAAAAAATAAATAAATAAATAATAATAATAATAATAATAAATAAAATAAAACTGCACTAAATGCTTGTTAAGTCCTAACACTTGTTCGAGAAAATTTGACTTTCAATGAATGATAATTAGCCTAGTTGAGTCTTGACTGTCGAATCAATCAAATAATTGGAGAATCCTTGTTCATTAAGGTGTTGACTTGCAATTAGTGACGTCTACTTGAATTGGAGAGGATGATGATAGTAATGAAAAATTCAACCTTAGATCACACACTAGGAAAAGAGTGAAAAAAGAACAAGTTTGGGGGTGTGTGAATCTTACGAGAGATGAAAGGATATATTTGACTATAGAGGGTTAGAAATTGAAACAACTTGTGAATTCTTTAATGTCAACTTAATTTTTCACACACTCACGTTGATTTTGCATTGGAAGAGTGGATATTGGTTTGGTATTGTGACTTTGAAGCAATTTGTAGATTTAATACCGCAATCTCAAATTCTGAGGTAAAAAGTTAGACTGTCCAACTAAATATTTTTGCATGTTTGTTGTTATCTAGGTTATGATTGTGTTCGAGGACGATCAAAGGTTTAAGTTTGAGAGTGTTTGATAAGTGTATTTTGTGCATTTATTTATGCCATTTTACTAAACGTTTATGTCGTTTAATTATTAATTTTTACTTAACTTGGGCTATTTTTATTGTCTTTAGTGACGAGCCCATTTGAAGCAATTGGAAATAAAGAATGATGAAATTGAATGAAACCGACAATTCTAGAGCTCAACTACCGTATTTAAAAATTGAAGAGGACATGGGCTGTATAATTAAATAGA